TTAGGTCATACAATAGGTTGGAATCCCAACCACAACACTACCTGCATGGAGTTTGTATGTTCTCCCTGTGCTTGCCTGTGTTTCTTCTCATACTCTGAAGACATGTTGGTAGGTGAATTGGCTCCTGTCCAAATTGGCCCTAGTATGTGTATGTATGAATGTGAGATAAGATAGTGACCTTAGGTTGTAAGCTCCTTGAGTTCAGGGACTGATGTGAATGTACAACATACACCGATCAGCCAAAAATGTGAATGCAGCACTAAAGCATAAGTGACAAATGCAATCATAAAGTGCTTATGTGAATAAAAGTGTTCATACAATATTCCAGTGAAATAAATCAAATAAAACGTCTCAGATTACATAGAATCATAAAATCATAAAAAACTTTAAAATTCTCAATATAAATAGTGGATAGTTCGTGGCACTGCAGGTCACAGAAGTGCCAAGTGATCTATGTGTGCTTATTTAGCAATATTAGTGATTATACATAGTCCATGGCACTAAAGGTCACAGCAATGCCCGGTGTTTGTGGAACTACAAGGTGCAGCAATACCAGCTGGGATGCTCAAGAGTACTCATGATCCAACATGGGAATCCACCACCTTATATAGATGTGCACTCACCAGAACGCAACTTGTATAACAGCGTTAATGCTGATCCTTATGGGGGGTCTAAGAAAGCCATAAATAGAGATCGGACTTCTTCAGGGTCAGGGCTATAACTTTGATCATAGAAATATATACTCAATACAGCAAAAATTTATCCTTGCAGTACTAGGGTCATACAATATGTTTGAATTCCAACCACAACACTAGCTTCATGGAGTTTGTATGTTCTCCCCCTGCTTGCCTATGTTTCTTCCCACACTCTAAAGATATGTTGGTAGGTTGATTGGCTCCTGTCCAAATTGGCACCAGTATGTGTATGTATGAATGTGAGATAGGATACCCACATGGAAGAAAAAAATAAAAAATAATATATATTTTTGCATGTTGAAATGCAATTTTAATACAAAATAAATGACAAATATTTTTAAAAATACATTTCAAATATACTGTATGTCTTTAAAAATACAAATCTACATTTTTGGAATGCATGTACAGATATATGTAAAAATATATATGTTAAAATTACTTTTTTATATGTTAAAAAAAAAAATCTGAAGAATGTATTTTTAAAAAATAAATGTTTAAAAAATAGTTTTCCTATATTTTGTAATATATAAAAAATGCATTTCAACATATATTTTTACATATATTTGTAAATGCATTCCAAAAATTTAGATTTGTATTATTTTAAAGACATACAGTATATATGAAATGTATTTTTAAAAATATTTTTCATATATTTTGCATTAAAACAATTTAAACATGCTATATATATATATATATAATATATATATATATATATATATATATATAATGTTTAAATTGTTTTTAATGCAAAATATATGAAAAATATTTTTAAAAATACAGTTTCACATATACTAAAAAATACTGTATGCCTTTAATAATGCAAATCTAAATTTGTGGAATTTAGAATTTAGAATAAAGCCAAAATTGTAGCATTTCATAAAATTGTAGCATTTCATATAATGTCAATACATTTCAGAAGAATATTTTTAAAATATATTTCAAATATATTTTTTTCTTCCATATGGGTAGTGACCTTAGGTTGTAAGCTCCTTGAGTGCAGGGACTGATGTACAACATACACCGATCAGCCATAAATTTACTACCACTGTGAGGTTACATGATAAACACTGATTGTCTTCTTACAATAGCTTCTGAAAGTGGGTGGGATATATTAGGCAGCAAGACGGCAACATGTCAGTAAAGTCGATGTGTTGAAAGCAGTAAGAATGGGCATCGCAGTTTGTTGTGTATGGAGCTGTGTAGCCACAGAGTGGCAGAGTGTCCATGCTGACCCGTGTCCACAGCCAAAAGCACCTACAATAGGCACATGAGCATCAGAAACGCAACATGGAGTAATGGAAGAAGGTGGTCTGGTCTGATGAATTACGTTTTCCTTTACATCATGTGGCTGGTCAGGTGCATGTGCTTTGCTTATCTGGGGAACTTCAACTTGGCCTTCAAATTCTCCAGATCTCAATCTAATTGAGATATGCTGAAAAAAATTCCAAAACATGGAGGCTCCACCTTACAACTTATAAGACCTAAAGTGTTACTAAACCCATGACCCTGCCTTCACTATATCTGGTCTCCCACAGTACACACTCAATGGAAATGCAATTATTGTAGTAAATATAAACTGCTAAAAAACATTTTCTCATCAGCATTCTTGTGCCTTCTATCAGTGTACAGCTGAGCACTGGTTAAAGCTTGTGGGATGAGGTTCCATTTTTCTCTGACTCCTATGAGGCTGCATGACTCCTGACCCTCTGCCTGGACTGATTGGCCCTGTGCTGATCACATACACCCTCCCAAAAAAAAAAACCTCTCTAGCAATACACACCAAACTGAGCATGTACAGTGACTCCTAGAGCTCTGTACTATCAGCAGATGGATTAGGGACAGTAGAAGAGGGGTAGAATCAGAGAAGAAAGGATCAAACAGCCTTGTGGGAAGATTAGGTTCCACAATGAGTATAACAAGAATGCTTTACTGCATATACAGACCAGGGGCAGACTGACAACTCATGGGGCCCCCGGGCAATAGGGGATCATGGGGCCCCTGTGTCCTTGCCCAAACTCAAAAAAGCCTATGAAAAAGGTACCAGGGGCATCTCATGGGGCCCCCTACTGACCCCGGGCCCTCGGGCAGTGCCCGAGTTTCCAAATGGTCAGTCCGCCCCTGATGCAGACTGATTTACTGTTGTGGTTCTGATACAGTGTAAAGGATCTGCTTGGTGGCAGATACCACAGCATACCTTCCGAGATCTAGTGGCATCCATGGTTGGACAAGTCATGGCTTTTTTAGCAACAAAAGCAGGATCTACTCAATACTAATTGGGAGGTCATAAAGTTATGGCTTATCGGTGTACATAAAGCGCTGCATAAATTGTCAGCACTACATAAACACCTGTAATATATAAAATAACATACAAAGTGTTGCTACTCCCAACTTTTCATTTAGTTGCCTACAGTATAGCGACATCTGATTGCATTACTGCACTTTGCATGCCATCACAACTCTTGGCTTGTTGAATGAGCCTATTTCTGGTATATTAGAATGGTATAATTGGTAAAAAAAAAATATCCCCCATTTAATCATCATTAGATCTCTGCACACATTTGAACACATAATGAAATAATTTAAATGTTTCCAGCAAGCATATTAGCATTTTTAAATTAATTCCATAAATTTTGCTAGCCAGCCCTGCTGTCTGAAACTGCTTCCTAATTTGTCTTATTATAAAACTCGGAAGCTAAGCACGCTTACAAAATTATAAAAGAGTACAGTAAACAAGTTCTGATTCTAAGCAAGGAAGAGGACAGGGGTTAACTATTCTGGAAGCATATCAGTAATAAAAAAATGAACCTTGATTACTTATGTCAGGTGTATTACTTCGATATTTGTTTCTAAAGCTGAACTCCAGACAAAAATCTAAATACACAGAAGAAATAGATGTAAGTAAGACTTTTACCTGTCAAAGGATTGTATTTCTGCACATCTAGTTCTTAGATATAGAAAAAAAATCCTGCCAGACAGGAGACCTGTGTTTTCTCTGCTGCAGTTAAAGTGTTACTAAACTCAGGACCCTGCATTCACTATATCTGGTCTCCCAGGACCCTGCATTCACTATATCTGATCTCCCAGGACCCTGCATTCACTATATCTGGTCTCCCCAGACCCTGCATTCACTATATCTGGTCTCCCAGGACCCTGCATTCATATATCCGGTCTCCCCAGACCCTGCATTCACTATATCTGATCTCCACGGACCCTGCATTCACTATATCTGGTCTCCCAGGACCCTGCATTCACTATATCTGGTCTCCCTCCCTGCAGTCACTATATCTGGTCTCCCCCCGGACCCTGCATTCACTATATCTGGTCTCCCCGGACCCTGCATTCACTATATCTGGTCTCCCCGGACACTGCATTCACTATATCTGGTCTCCCCGGACCCTGCATTCACTATATCGGGTCTCCCTGGACACTGCATTTACTATATCGGTCTCCCCGGACACTGCATTCACTATATCTGGTCTCCCAGGACCCTGCATTCACTATATCGGTCTCCCTGGACACTGCATTCACTATATCTGGTCTCCCTGGACACTGCATTACTATATCTGGTCTACCCGGATCCTGCATTCACTATATCTGGTCTCCCAGGACCCTGTATTCACTATATCTGGTCTCCCCGGACACTGCATTCACTATATCTGGTCTCCCAGGACCCTGCATTTACTATATCTGGTCTCCCCAGGACCCTGCATTCACTATATCTGGTCTCCCAGGACCCTGCATTCACTATATCTGGTCTCCCAGGACCATGCATTCACTATATCTGGTCTCCCGAACCCTGCATTCACTATATATGGTCTCCCAGGACCCTGCATTCACTATATCTGGTCTCCCCGGACCCTGCATTCACTATATCTGGTCTCCCAGGACCCTGCATTCACTATATCGGGTCTCCCTGGACCATGCATTCACTATATCTGGTCTCCCCGGACCCTGCATCCAATATATCTGGTCTCCCAGGACCCTGCATCCACTATATCTGGTCTCCCCGGACCATGCATTTACTATATCTGGTCTCCCCCGACCCTGCATTCACTATATCTGGTCTCCCCGAACCCTGCATTCACTATATCGGGTCTCCCCAGACCCTGCATTCACTATACCTGGTCTCCCCGGACCCTGCATTCACTATATCTGATCTCCCACAGTACACATAACATGGAAATGCAATTATTTTAGTAAATGTAAACTGCTAAATACCTTTTCTCATCAGCAGTTAGAGCAGTCTTGTGACTTCTATCAGTGTCCAGCAGAGCACTGGTTAAAGCTTGTGGATGAGTTTTTTTTCTGCTCTAGGAGGATGCAGAAACCCTGACCTCTGTCTGGACAGTGCTGGTTGGCCCTGTGCTGATCACATGCAGCCTCCCAAGAAAAAGAAAAAAACTATCTAGCAATACACACCAAGCTGACCATGTGCAATGCGTCTCCAAGGCTCTGTTCTAGCAGAAGATGAAATGGGAAACATGGAAGAAGGGGAGGATCAGAGAAGTCCAGATCAAACATCCTTTTAACACAATGCAGAGGATTAACCCCTTAGGTTCCAGAGTGAGTATAACAAGCATGCTTTACTGCATATACAGACTGATTGTACTGTTGTGGGTTTAGTAACAGGGTCTTGTCCCTCCCTCAGCCTGTGATTGAAGAAGCAACATACTAATGAGCTCATCTCACTGTCACTCTGCTTTCTCCATCTATCATCATGTTAGCATATGATCAGTGGTGTATTCAGGTTTTGTGCTGACCTAGGCACCACGCAATTTTCGGACGCCCCCCCCCCTCCCTGGAGGAGAGAGCATAACACTGACCAACACCAAACCCCCCTCCCACAGATAGAGCCTGATACAGTGACCAAAAACACCCCTGCTCCCCCCCCCCCCACCAGAGATCCTTCCATTAATTACCACCCCCTTACGATAGAGAGAAAGACACTCACCTTCACAGCTCTGGCCGACCCCAGGAATGGCTCTTGGGAGGAAATTTGCAAATATCAAAATGCTTTGATGGGTGAATGTCAGTTTGGGGAAGAAGGCATTCCTATGTAGTGGCCCTATGTAATGCTGAGCTTCCATGAGTGAAAGAACTAGCATCCAATGAATGAAAAGGGGCTGCCCAGGGACAGTAAGGTTGGCAAGGAAAGGGCTATATATACTGGAAAAGGAACACATGGGGCTGCTGCCACTTTCTGATATGGGAGCCATGGATTTTTATGGACTTTAACTTTATGTATTGGGGTAGTGCACACCTTCTCCAACGCCATTTATTGGTTATAGATACTGGAAAAGGAACACATGGGGCTGCTGCCACTTTCTGATATGGGAGCCATAGACTTTTATGGACTTTAACTTTGTGTATTGGGGTAGTGCACACCTTCTCCAGCGCCATTTATATCAATTGGTTATAGATACTGGAAAAGGAACATATGGGGCTGCTGCCACTTTCTGATATGGGAGCCATAGACTTTTATGGACTTTAGCTTTGTGTGTTGGGGTAGTGCACACCTTCTCCTGCGCCATTTTATTGGTTATAGATACTGGAAAAGGAACACATGAGGCTGCTGCCACTTTCTGATATGGGAGCCATAGACTTTTATGGACTTTAGCGTTGCGTATTGGGGTAGTGCACACCTTCTCCAATGCCATTTATATCAATTGGTTATAGATACTGGAAAAGGAACATATGGGGCTGCTGCCACTTTCTGATATGGGAGCCATGGACTTTTATGGACTTTAACTTTGTGTATTGGGGTAGTGCACACCTTCTGCAGCGCCATTTATTGGTTATAGATACTGGAAAAGGAGCACATGGGGCTGCTGCCATTTCTGATATGGGAGCCATAGACTTTTATGGTCTTTATCTTTGTGTATTGGGGTAGTGCACACCTTCTCCAATGCCATTTATATCAATTGGTTATAGATACTGGCCACCCTCCACGAAGCAGTCTGACTTTCTGCAGTATACAGTGAAATCACAGCATGCTGTTTTAATACAGGAAAAGGAGCCTATGCAACCGTGCAAGACTGAAGGTAGGGTTGGAGTTCAATTTTGATTTCTCTACATTTTATATCTGACTGGAGTTCAGCTTTAAACAACACTGCTAAAATGTACCCTATCTTTACAATGACTGTCCTGAAAATTATATATATAAAAACTGACATTTCTGATATCAAAATGTACAGGTTATAAAGTCTTTGCGCTGTCAGGCTAAACCCCACCCACTGTTGGGTTAAACCCCAAAATCTGTCTACTTGATTACGGCTGTTTTAAAATAGGTGGGGTTTTTCAGGATGAGTGTGGCTTGTCATAAGTAGTGTGTCGGTCTATTTATCAGTGTCAGCCGGTGATAGTTTGTGTCCCTCCACTATGTTCTGTTAATCCATCAATGTCATACTCTGCCCATCTGTCATTATTTATCTACAAGTTTATAGTCTGTGTCTGTTCATCAGTGTGTCTGTCCATCAGTGTCTCCCACTCTGTTTAAATTTGAATGTAAATGTAATATAAGAAATACTATATGCCTTGCAACAAAATTAAAATAATATTGCTGTGATCCTATTTTGCTGCATTCTTTATTAAGTAATAAAGTAGTAAGAAAAGTGAAAAAAATCAGGAAACAATTATTGATTTGCTAAAACTGGAGCATGAAAAATCACGCACAGCTGTGTATGGTAACCAATCAGCTTCTAACTTCAGCTTGTTCAGTTAAGCTTTGACAATAAAACCTGAAAGATGATTGGTTTAAATGCAGAGCTGCTCCAGATTTTGCACTCTCCAGTTTTAGTAAGTCAATCAACATACAGCAAGTACATGGTCTTTAAGTTACCACAGTAATAAAAGGTACACTTGTGGTAGATATCGGATGATACAAAGATATTCCAGCAATAGACTATACAAAAGCAACTGTGGTATCTCTGTAATAGTGGCCATACATGCTTTGATAAATTACATAGTTACATAGTTATTCGGGCTGAAAAAAGACAAAAGTCTATCCAGTTCAACCATAAACAAACAAAAAAAAATTAAGTTTTAATCCTATACCCACAGTTGATCCAGGGGAAGGCAAAAAACACAGCAAAGCATGATCCAATTTGTTCCTGCAGGGGAAAAAATTCCTTACAGATCCCCAGGCAATCGGATATTGCCTGGATCAACTTTACCAATAAATGTTAGTAACCAGTTATATTCTGTGTATTAAAGAAAGAATCCAGGTCTTTTTTAAAGCAATCTACTGAGCTGGCCAGAACCAACTCTTGGGGAGTCTATTCCACATTTTCACAGCTGTTACCGTGAAGAAACCTTTCCGTGTTTGGAGATTACATTTCTTTTCCTCCAGATGTAAAGAGTGCCCCCTTGTCCTCTGTGATGACTTCAGGGTGAATAACTCTACACCGAGTTCACTATATGAACCACTGATGTATTTATACATGTTGATCATATTCCCCCTTATGTATTATACATGGAGAATATATTCCCCCTTATGTATTATACATGGAGATCATATCCCCCTTATGTATTATACATGGAGAACATATTCCCCCTTAATCTCCTTTTCTCAAGAGAGAATAAATTCAGTTCCTCTAATCTTTCCTCATAGCTGAGCTCCTCCATGCCTCGTATCAGTTTGGTTGTCCTTCTCTGTACTTTCTCCAGTTCCCCAATGTTCTTTTTGTGAATTGGTGCCCAAAACTGAACTGCATATTCCAGATGAGGTCTTCCTAATGGTTTGTACCAGGGTAATATGCTCTCTCTCTGGAGTCTATACCTCTTTTAATACAAGAGAGGATTTTGCTCGCTTTAGAAACCGCAGCTTGGCATTGCATGCCATTATTAAGCTTGTGATCTACCAGAACCCCCAGATCCTTCTCCACCATTGATTCCCCCAGTTGTAGCCCCCCTAGTATGTATGATGCATGCATATTCTTAGCTCCCAAGTGCAGAACCTTACATTTATCAACAATAAACCTCATTTGCCACATAGTTGCCCAATTAAACAGTGCATTGAGGTCGGCTTGTAAATTGAAGACATCCTGTAAGGACGTTATTCCACTGCACAGCTTGGTGTCATCTGCAAAGACTGAAATGGGATTTATAATCGCAGACCCTATATCGTTTATAAGTATATTAAAAAGTAAGGGTCCAAACACTGAACCTTGGGGTACACCACTGATGACCCCAGACCATTATTGATTTCTTTCTGATAGATTTCTCCCGATAGGCATAATCAACCCAGCATGGACAACCCATTCAATCTTTATGCCACACATGGGGAAGTGGATTTTGATCCAAAGTTGCAATATACGAATGTCAGTTATCAATCACTTCTCTGTTTTAACCCCGCAGTCTCATAATCTGATTGATCAAAATACCATCAGTGCTGTCAATTGTCGCAAAATAATCAATAATTTTCTGCCCTGATTGATTGATTGACTCAGATTGAATCTGATCTAAATCGACTGAAGAGAAGTTACAGCTATTCAACTATTTGCCGATTTGAGCATTTTGATCAATTCGCACAATGATTGGGTAATATGGCCACCATAAATTTGTCCAATACCTTACATGAATACAAGGTGGATGCCTGCCATAAAAACTGGGTGGATTATAGTGTAACCAGATGTTAATTTTTTTTTCATAGTGAAGTGGCTGGGAATAGATTTAAGTATCTACTACTGTGGATGGTGATGGAAGGTTAAGGTATTTGGGAGTGGATGGAGGAAATTAGGGATGATCTTACTGGTGTGGCTGGCTGAGGGAGAGGGAAGTGGGGGGAGGCGGCTATCTAGGTAAGTCCAGGGGCAAGTTGATGGAATTGGAAAATGGAGACATGCCAGATGGAGGGAGCAAAGAGCCCCGGCTTCAGTGGGGTAAAATAAAAAAGGGAAAGAGAGCAGGGAAGAGGGGAGGTTAGTGGTATGGGGTGGGAAGCAGGGAGAGGGTAGGGAGAAGTGAAAAGGTGAAAAAAAATTAACCATGTAGATGGGGGAATTGATGAAGTGTTGCTTAGTATGGAGGGCACCCAGTCAGAATTAGAATGAGTTATATCGAAGAAAAGCTGTTTGTGCCTTAAGGACAAGTCTATCCAATAGAACCCTGTGGTTTGCAACTTGAAGTATGTGCCATTCAAGGATCTAATCAGGTCTTCCATTAGTTTAATATCTTCAACACAGTGACGATACATCGTATGGACAGTGGGGAAGAGGACTTTGCTGAGAGTGCTGGGATGCAGTAATATGCTACATTAACCAATTGTAGTATAACTGATTTTTGCATGCCTTAAGAGGTGCAGGGTTGTGATGGAGAAGTAAGACCTGGATTTCTTTGGAATGGGACAGTCCATAATTTTTTTCCAGAATTGTGTGGACTTCAGTCTAAAAATCTATAAGCCTGAGGAAGACCAGAAGATGTGTATTATGTCAAATCATGGTGAGCCACATCTCCAGCATGTCTCTGGCAAGGAAGGATAAATGGAGTGTAGTATTGTTGGAGTGTGATACCAGCGGGTGACAATTTTGTAGCTGGACTCTTGGTATCTATTACTTATAGACAATCCATACAAGAGAGTTAGTATTAACGATCACACCGTGCATGAGAGAGATATTGGAGATTTG